AAACGTATAGAGGCGTCTACTTATTTATACCTCTAGGACTTTACGTTAATGTTAATTTCAGGTGTTGTGTAATAGCATGCATACTAACAACGTGTCGTATACAACTTCCAACGTTAATTGTAGCGATTTTAATTTCCTGTCACAAAACAATTGTTAATCGCTAGAAACATAAACTTTATTGCCCTCAAGAAATACAGTTACTTACTTTGGTGGATGAAAATGTTTTGCAATTAAACAGCTGTTCAGTGCCTGTATCGTTTTAATATTTCCATAAGAAATTATTGAAAATAGTTCTTTGTGTGTTTACACAAAGTGCATAAATATTTCACTTCTAACGATTGGCTTCATCAAACAGAATATGTGTGACTTTTGAACACTCTCCCAAAGATACTATACTGTTTTAGCACAACACTTTCTTAATTATATATAGTGTTAAGTACATTAACTAAAAACGACTTTGACTGCATACATCAGCAAGGCTTCTGGCAACTACAGCCTATAAAAAGTCGTAGTGGAACAGCATATATTAGAACTACATTTTGGCATTGTTGACATTTTGTAAGCAGCATGGTGTCAACGAAAATATTTCGCTTTTGTGAAGTGTATGTAAGAATCCCTTCCGTTGTAAAATGTTTGTGATTCATGTCATAAAGATTCATGTTGGGGATTTAAAATTTACTAGGCGAGGATATATATATTTCTTGACTTAATGACATTGGAAAATATAGGAATATGACTCAACCCGGGACACCGAGACCATCCAAAAAGAGACATGCCCACGAAGAATCGTACCCCAGCTGTTGTAACGCAAAGTACTCCGCCTTATGATAGGCAAAGATCAGCGATCGCAAAGGTCAGTATCAAAAGCCATCCATATGTCCTAGCAACAGTACCAAACATAATCATGAATGATTTTCACCTGAAAAAGCAACACAAGTCATATCAGTTCAATCGTTTCATATCGCAAGCAACAGCAGAATGATAATGGTTTGAGACGGCTTGAATGGGTAATGAAGAAAAACTTTAATATAAGTTTAACAT